TGGTTTTCGCGGGTCAAACGACTCGTATGTTACAGGTTGCAATATGGCAGCCCATACATGTGCCCCAAATCGGTTCTGGTGATCCCATTCTTGAAGTGCCAACCATCCAAGCAGTAAGCCATCGTCGTCAGATGGCTTCATCGTAGGGATTGGAGACGGCGGATGAACCAGCGGCTCCCGATCCGAAGCGGCTCGTTGTGTCGCCTCGGGCAGGAAGCTTCCGATCCCCTGGTCGAATGGGTAGACCGGTCTATTTCCCGTTCTTCCAGGCCCTTGACAGGTCCTACGTATTTTGAAACACACACCCAACTATGACAGGGGTGGCCTAACAGCATGGACCTGGGGGTATTGAAAAGGTCAGTAGAATGACTAGAAGGTCACCGGGGTCATGGTTTGAATCCGGCCGAAGTGAGCTCAGTCAGTGGTTGACACACGAAAGCCCACGGCCCCCCCCCTAAGGGCGACTGGAGTCGGACATTGGGAGCTGGATCGAGCTGGAAGTCTGGATGTGTATGGGGTGCGTTGAACGAGGACACATCACAAGGTCCACACGTTTGAGAGATACGATACTTCTATATTTCGCTTTCCCCTCAAAGTCCGAGACCGAAGATGGGTGACCTGAGATGTTTCTTTTGGTGTAACATCACCCCGAGTAGTTTCTCACAACCCCAAGCCAGGCTTCGTCGGGATGACCCGGCCTTTAAAAAAGAACTCGTACCTCTAGGAATCCTCAAATGGGCCTCTTACCACTAGGAGCCTTCGGACGCGACTCGAACGGGGCGAAACTGGCCTTACTAGCTCTGAGCCCCGTTCGAGTCGCGTCCGAAGGCGCCGATGCCGAGCCGCACAGCGGCCGGGTTTCTGTGGGGCCGGGCCCTCCTGATTTGGGGATCCAAGTTGGGACATGTTCAGGCGTCCATGCTCTGTGCCTGGGGGTTCAGGGTACATCTGAGCCTGACTGACCTCGGTTTTGATAGGACAAGACCATATTTTGGACAGTTGATCCTCCAAAACAGGGGTCACTTAGGCTCCAGATGCATGCCATATTTCCCAACATGTCTTCCTGCCACTCTTACCGTTACTCTTGGCAGTATTCAACCAGAAACCACAGCTGAAGTGGTGGCTTGTTGGTGATTTGGTGCGGCAGAGGAATCTATCCTACACCCCCCGATTTCCAGGTCCTCCTAGTTGAAGAATTGGAATACAGCTGTTACAACACCCAACTAGTTCACAAGCATCACGGCCATTTTTCGTTCGCTGAGGCCACTAGTGTGCCCTGGCGAACTGTGCCAGCTTGGGATGCGCGTGTTGTAAGAGGGCGGCCGAGGGTGGAGGTCTCGCAATCGAGGAAAAGACAACAAGCTACTCTTCCCAGCTTTGGAACCCCAGTATCATCACCGATCATCACCGAGGATTTTGATATATTTTGATCGTACTGCTCCAGTTTCCGGCCTGGACATAGAAAACACCGCCAGCCACCAGAATTGCAAGCTAGAGTGGCTTGATTTGTCCATGAGCTTCGCAGGGAGTTGGCCAACACCGTTGGACGACGATCCCGCTTGAACATGGTCCGGTCCTCCAACGCTGAATATGACGATCTTCTCACACGAAAAGACACCCAAACTGGCTAGGCCAATCAAGTGCCATCAAGTGAACGTTCCTTTCTCAATTCCGGGAACCAATCCATGGATAGGAAGCAGTTAAGCACTGGCTGGCTCTCTGAATCTGAGCTGTGGCAGAGATGGCCTGATGTGAAACTTCATCCAATGAAGTCATGGCCATGGCTGAACGACTCCGCTTCTGATTTCACCTCGAGAATCTTGAGCCACTGAAGCAAGAGGGATGAGCACAAGTTCCGTCTTCATCCTCTTCACCCCTGGGTACAGGCAAAGACAAACGGATCCCCAATACGGAGCTTTCTTTCCATTTGCCTGACCCCTCCGCCGGCCATCCGTGACCCCCTCCGCCCCCCCACTTCCAAAAACCACCACCTCCGACCAGCCAGGACGCTCCTCGTCCACCGCCTTGACCCGCCACGAAACCCGATGGCCCTTCAGGTCAGCGGTGCCAACTCCGGCGGCAAGGGCGGCAAGGGCGACTGGGGCGGCGCCCAATTCGGCGGAGCCGAAGGCGTGGACGGGCGTGACACCCGGGCGGGGCGGTCGAAGGGGCGTCACTTGGGGGAAATTCACGCCAAGTCGATGTTCACTTTTCTTGCTGACCCGAAACGGACATTCCAGATCCAATGGGGGCGGCTCGTTTCTCCGGATTCTGAAAAGGGATTCTCTCGGCAGTCCACTTCGTTTCGACCAATCAGTCTTCTGCCCCATCTCCGCAGATGGGCGGCCGGCCTGGTGACTCCGTAGTCGAGTCATTTGTTTCTCATGAGAAGAAAGATCCTTGCTCAATCCAGGTACCATGTGTTTTTTTCTTTCACCCCAACCTTTCAGCCAAAATTCAGGCGACACGTACTTCCCACGAAGCCGCAGTTGTTCTTCGCTTCGGACTCAGCTTCGCTCAGCTTGACTCCACCGCCGCACCGCTCCGCAACGGCTGCAAGACTACGGACAGGTTTCGACGGCGGCTACGGCAAGATGGCCGAGCAGCAAAACTTCCGTCCGCTGCTTAGACTCCTCGGTTCCGGGACCCAGGGACCACGCGAGGTACGGTGTGGCCGTTTCATGTTCTTTAGACGCCTGCTCCTGGAGGGTTTGGTGGCCGTAAGCATTTGTTGTGGTTCAACTTGTATGGGTTTTTCATTTCAATGATTTGGTTCCGGACCATGTGGAAGACGAAAGAGTTCTGTGGCCGTTTGTGCTGGAGGATTCCAGAAGTGAGAAAGATCTAGAGAAAGCAAGACATGCCATCAGATTTTTGCCCTTTTGCACTGTGAAAAACACGTTGCCATGTCAGTGTTCTCTCTTTCTCTTCAATCTTTCATCAGCACTTGTGGTGGACATCCCCACCGGGTGGTGAAACACCCGGTGTCGGCCGAAACCGGGAGGACACTGGGGAGGCTGTCGAGAAGCCTCCCCAGTGTCCTCCCGGCCTCAGGTCCAGTTTTTCAGGTCCAGTTTCGCTCCCAGGCGTCACGATGTTCCCAGTATATTCTTTTGGACATGGTTTTGAGGATTTGGTTTCAAATCTGTTCAACAGGCTTCAGTGGATGGTGCTTCAAAGTCGATCCTCCTGTTCAACAGGAGGCCATCGCTTCTGGTAGGAATTGTGGTTCCAAGAGGTTCCAAGAGGTTGGCTGGAGTTTCTGGTTGTCCTCGGCCATCCATCCCTCCATGGACGTCCAGGTTTTGAGGCCACGGAGGTTCCGAAAGTCAGGCAACTAAGACTCTAAGACCGAGTCTGTGGGCCTCTAAGACGTATGTAGACCCAGCCAGTGAGTGGATGTGACGCCCCAGTCACCCCACCTCCAGCACTCCATCTCTCCTCCGGCACCCCAACTCTAGAACTGCTGGTAGCACTTCATTCACATGATGGATGACTCTTTGCACTCGGCACCCCCGTCCGGTGCTGGCTCCGAGTGCCACTGGCTGAAACTGGAGGCTCCGAACCCTATCCCAACGACGGGACTGTCCCCGCTGGCTGGTGACGGTGGCTGGGCTGGCTGGGCTGGGGGATGGTGGGGACGAAGTCCTGGTGCTGGTGACGGAAGCGACTGAACGTTTCTGGGCCAGTTGGGTTGAAACAACAGTGTTTTGTTTGACATTTCTTCGATTGCGTTCTTGGCCGTGGTTCACACTATGTTTCAGACTGAAACCAGAGGGGCTGACCGTTCTAGCCATAGGAAAGGGCGGCCTTCACCGGGCTCGAGACAGGTTGTCAAGGGAGGTGCCACATTCTGAAGCATCGACTGTTAAGTACATTTCTGGGCCCAGCTTGGTGGCTCTGGGCAACGCAGGCTTGGATCTGGGGTGGATGGTTTCCTCGTACCGATGTACACACTCCTTGAAATCGTCATGGAATTGGAAAACCACCTGTTTGGTATTCGGAACATGGTCATCCAAGAGGGGCCATGCCATCCACTTAATCATTTTTCTTTCAAGGAGTGTAAGTTGTAGAGTCGGTGACGCCGATGAATGGTTGCAGAGCAGGGCCCACGGAAAGAACATTTCACGATTGACCCTGGATGAGCTTTCAGTGGACAAGAACTCAACGAAACGATCCAACATCTCTGGAACCAAAACATGGACGATATTATCATCATTATATAGATTAACATAGATTAACAAGAAGCTACTAGGGGCTCCCAGCCATACTACTAGTAACAAGAAGCTACTAGGGGCTCCTGGCCTTACTACTAGGAGCGATCGGACGCTACGTTCGGGGCTCCTGGCCACACTATACGAGTAAATAGGAACACCTCCCAGGTGTGGCAACGACCCCCCTAAGTTCGATGAGGGTGACCAGTCTACCCAGCAAAAACACTCGGCAGTCTCCCTATTGAAGAAATACACACCCACATCTCTAGCACCTGCCTCCGGTCACACAGCGTCTCCATGCTGCTGAGGGCCGGCCATGTTGTGTCGCGGTGAAGGCATTTCGCTTGCGAGTCCGCGTCATCTGCCGCCTAAGCCTCTTAGAAATACAAAGCCTTTACTGCTGTCCACTGGACCTGTCCAGTTGGACGGCGGAGCATCCAGAAGAGCAGTGTGTTTGATGCATATCTGTTTCACCCGGAAGTGGCCAGGATCTTGTGCGTGGATCGAGGAACGTGCGGGGGTCAAAGCAAGGGCGCGCGCCAAACGGTCGTCGGCGCGGTCGTGAAACGGCTGTTGGGACCGCCTCTTTTGGGGGAATCTCCTCGTTTCGGAGCCGGCCTCCCAAGGATGGGGCACGTACCACGTACCGGTTCACGTACCGGTCTCCGAACCCCGATGATGGGCACCCTCTTGGAACTGCTAGATCCGTTCTTTCTTGGCCATTATTTTTGGTGCTTTTGGTGGTAAACGAGGCCCCCCCCCCATCAACCCGTTCGACTGCCCAAGGCGCTTTGGCCACAGAGCTTTACGACGCCCAAGGTGGGGACCTTCAGAGTGGCCTTAAGCCGAACACCTTCCCTGCCAGCTCTCTGAAATGGAGGCTTTTGTAGACTTACAAGTCGCAGGGTGACCTTCAGATGGAGAGCATGGCCAGGGAATGTTCCAATGCAGCAACATCTGGCCGTATACGACGATCGTAACGATCGGACGCGACGCGAGTTCGGAGCAGGCCAGGGCATCGGTACGAACGGGGTGCGCTCCTGGCCCTACTACGAACGTAACACCTTCAGTTGAATCACCTGTGAGTGCCATCTCTCTCGAAGAGTGATGTCTCTCACGAACCCGAGAACCCGAAGAGGTCTCTAAACCGGAGTCCGAGTCCAACACCGGAGTCCCTCGCCTGATGTCTATGATCACATGTCTGATCAGACGTCGATCCGAGGAGAACTGTCCACGATATCGGCCCCCCCAACAAGTCGAGTCGAGAACATCGTTTCCACGGGCACTTGAGGGATTCAAGTGCCAGGGGAGGGCTCCTAGGCGATGGGCCTGGAACCCCAAACAACCAGAAAGAAATGGATGTTTTCCCAAACAACCATTTCCTATGTAAAGGATTTCAATTGCCATATTGGAACAACCATTTGTTTCTAGTTGTTTGGGGTTCCGGGGGGGGTACCCAATTAGATGCCCTGCGCCGGTGAAGGCGAAAAGGTGAGTCATGCCCTGCGCATCGTCGGTGTTCGCCGACACGAAAAAAGCATGGCAAAGCAACCCCCGGCAGGATGCTTTCTAGTGGGTTTTCGTAGCCATGCTGCCATAGCTGAGTATGAATTGAGAGAAGAAACTATCTTCTCTCCAACCTACACATGCCAAACGTTCAAAGAGGTATCTTTAGAAGTTCAGAAGGCTCGTCTTCGCTGGTACTTCCCCTTAGTTGAGTAAAGATAGAGAGTCCACAGACTTTTATTCGGAGTGTCCTCCTATATGAAAGTTATACACTGGAGAGAGAGAGAGAGAGAGAAGAAATACGAGAACGACTTCTCCATCACTCGCCCAATCCCCAATCACTCTGTCGAATCCATTCCATTCGCGCACAGGTCCAAGAAGCTTCATCGCCAAATCCCAAAATCACTCGGTCAACTCGACTCGCGAGGACCCGCGGCCCGAGTCCGTCGTCCCGCAAGGCACCAGTGCCGCGAGCATCGCGAGCGCGAGGACCCAGGTGGTGCATGGACCCGGTGCGAGGACCCGGTGAATCGGATTCCGAGGATCCATTGGGAAGTCAAAAGCCTAAGATCAGATCCTCTGAGGAGCCTTCGACGCTAAGAAGAGACTTTGGAACCCCTGGAGCCCTCGGCGATTGGGTCCCCAAATGGAGCCCTGAAGAAGACTAGCCTCAAATCTGTTTCAGAAGACACGACGTCGACACCGGTGCCTGTGCTGCCGTGCCGTGCTGCCTTGGATCCATCGATGTGGGAATCTTCTGAGATTGCACTCTGTCACTAACATGGAAGTGGAAAATCCCCTGTTTGTAAAGGAAGGGGACTATCTTCCAAGGGACTATGCCTTCCACTTCCATGTGATGTGTGAAGATCAGAGTGTAGATGATGAGATGAACAGACAATGCCCTTTTCTTTTCCGCTGACAACCTGCGTTGTCAGAAGACTCGAAGACTCGCATCGGAGATGTAAGACGACGACGACGTGACTAAGACGATGCAGTTCGATGCAGTTCGAAGGATCGATCCACCGGCGTTTTTTTTCAAGTTCCAGCCGCGCGCTTTGCGGGAAGGAAGGCGGTTCCCACTCTCACCCAGCGGCTGCATGGAGAGCGAGTCCACCGGACGTCGTCTGTGTCCGGGATCTGAAGAAGCGAACAGTGCAGCGGGTTGGACATTGGACACTCTGGACACTTCGACAAAGGTTCGTTCTTGAGTGACATGGGTCTTGGCTTCAAGATGATATGCCGGTCAGACGAATAACTACCAGTTGTGTGGAGTTGGTAATCCTGGACTTCTGTGCGCCTGGACCTATTGGGAGGCTCTACTCCTGGCGGCATGTGATCGAGTTGCTGAAGTTACACAATTGCTTCAGAAACCACTGGATCCCAATAGAGGTGCAGACACCGACCACCTACCTATGCATCGTGCAGCAAAACGTTTTCATTTGGAAGTGGAGCGGTTGCTCGAGGCTATGCAGCAGGCGCAGAGTGGGCGACTGCCTTGATTGCTGCAGATCATATCGTTCTTTAAGCCAGCTGGGACTACCTGCGCAGGTTCGAAGTTCTGCGATATGTTGTCAAGTCGACCGTGCAGTCCTTAGCCACTGTGGATCTGTTTGGAAGATGCTTACCGTAGGTTCCACTTGCATTTGTCTCAAACGACCAACCCCCAAGCCGTGGCAGGGCTTGATCCCAGTCCCCTTAGGTGAACTTTGGTGCTATACGCTTGGACCTGGAGCGAACGAAGCCTCACCCCCCCCCGGGTCGGTCGTCATGCCACTGAAGAACTGTAGATTCTTGGGAGAAGCCTCCAGGCATGATGTGGTGTTCAAAAGCGTCCAACCAAGCCATTGCACCAAAAGAGGGGGGAGACTCGCTGTTTTTCTAGGGGGTTGATGCCCAGTAGCATGACGGGGGCATTGGTAGGTCTACCATGGGTTTCTCTATCCAATCATGCAAGTGGCGAGATGTTACCCGGTCCGGAGTTCCGCGTCGACGCTGTTCGAAGTTCCTTCCACTTCCACACGGGACACTGGACGGACTTCAGGAACCTCGGCTGCTCCGCCGGGCTGAAGGTGGGAGGAGCGGGGATGGGAGCTGGGAGCTGGCTCAGCGGAGCATAGCGGAGCCGTGTGAAAGAAGAAACGCATTTGATGAGACGAACGCATGAGCCGAGGAGAAGCCCATTCGTTTCACAACCGGTCGACTCGAAAGAGAAATGATGTCACCCGCGGTAGACTCTTGAGGTTTTGTATGTCTTTACAGTATTCAAGCCCAATGACCCAATGGTTGGGTTTTACACCCTGGACAATTCGCATGGAACCTGAAAAACCACGTCGCGTTGGCATGGTATTCGGAAAATCGTCTTCCAGTCTGGTCCATGCCATCAGCTTCATATAATCTTCCCGGGTTTTATTCATGTTTCGACCTCTGTCTCCATGGTGAGATGTGCGTTACTCTTAGTCTTGGTCCTTTTGTGTCCGATCGAACGCAGAACGGAACGGGTTCCGCGCTGCTGCAACAACGGGGTCCCCCAAAGAGATAAAAACAACGGGTTCCAATACAATGTTGAACGGGACTTTGACCTTTCTATCTACCATGGGTCCACATCAGTGGTGCTGAAGAATGCATTTGTCCCCAGCTTTTCATGGAGAGAGCCGAGAGAGCTTGTGTCCAACTCAAGCTACGTCTGGTGCTGTTTTCGTTCCGGGACTGCCCCCAATGCTTCGCCGAGTCCGGCGCACGTGTTTGAATTGGAAGAAATGGGTCACACATGGGTGGGCCCCCCCCTCAAATGTCCTGATTCCTGCCGTCCCACCCCCCAAAACACCCACAAACCCCCACAAACAGTGGGAGGGATTCTGCCCCACAAACAGGGAAGCAACCGGATCAGCTCAACACCACTCCTTCGGATCAGCTCATGGCACTCGGCCGATCCCGATTCTTCCGGGTCGATGTGACGCATGGGCCGGTGGGAAGCGCATGGAGCCGCGCGACGTGACCGAGCAGTCTCAAGTCCTGCGCGACGTGACGTCCGTCTCAACGTCCTCCTTTCAGAGGTTCAGTGGTTTTCAGAGGTGGTGCAAGGACATGAGCCCCCCCAACGTTCGGTGTGGCAAGGACATGGGCCCCAAGATCAAAGACATCCTTGGGTATTTGCGCAGTAATTACTGCGACATCCCTATTCTGAAACCACAGTAATTCACATTTGGCTGAGGGCACACAGCTCTTTTCCAAGCGTTTTGGCACAGAGAATGTCACATCGGCGGATGTTTCTTGACCCATGCTCATGTGGTTGTGGTATGTTGTGGATTGCACCCTGTACGTCTCATAAATACCACATGAATCAAAGCTTGTCTTGTCACATTGTCCCCCTAAAATCCCACCTCGTTCTGGGTTCTGGGCCTGTTTTGGGGTGCAAAGATTAAGACAATATGCTACCCCAAACCCTGGACCTTGTGAAGGACAACAGGCTCCCCCCTGCTGATGGGTGTGTGGAACCTGGTAACTGCGACAACTCGCGCTGCGTGTTGCCTATCCTGATTCTTCAAAGTGACCCTTTGAGATCACCGTTTGAGGTCACTTGGGCCTGAAAATGGTCACTCAGGTACTCCAAAGAGGTCACGAACTGAAGAAGCTGGATCCTTCGTTTAAGTCTGGTTGGTGGTTTCAACACGTTCCAAGTACTATGTCCAACTGATACAACTTGATGGGATTCACCCCATCACCGTCCTACCCAGCTTCTCCGAATGGGATGCTTCACCAAGCTGGCAATCCGTCGATCTGGTGGTGGTTCCCCACGTCCTGGTGCCGTGGAGAACTGGTGGTTCACCACCTGGGGAACTCGTCTCGTAAGTCGACCTCGTCTTCCCTCGAAAAGGCAGAGCTGCCCGCCCTTCCCGCGCCGCCGCCCTCCGCGCTCCGACGGCTGGGCACTCCGACTGAGTTCGGACCGACCGGACGACCGGACTTCGCGACCGGTTCTCGTCGACGGAGAGGTGGAGAGGGTGCTCCCAAGAGCCGCTACGACGCACCGGACGACCTGACTGCGCCGGTGCTCTGCGAAAGGAGAGTGGTGTGAGTGCACGGGTGCACGGGTGAGTGCCCCCGTGCACTGAACGGTGCAGAAGAACTGGAGAGACTGGAGAGGTAGAACCTGAGGTGCAGGTTGAAGGTTTTGGGGTGTTTGAGGTGCTTTTTGAGTGGGGAGATATGGAGATGTGGTGCTTTGGCCGAGCCTGGGCTCAGTTCCACGCCACACGGCCCAAGCGTCCGACGGCCCATCCACCACGTTTTTGTTCATTCCGTGATGTTTCAAGGGTCTGGCCGCTGGCCAAAACCTGGCAAAAACCTGGCCGGGAGGTAGTCTAAAATACCTGTTTCACCTGTTTAAAACATCGTATATCTAAAAAGATACCGTAGAATCGCCTGAGCTACCCAAGATTGGGTTTATAGTATAATACAATATACTATGACTATAATTCTTTGTGGTTTACAGTCACCCCTGACGATGTACGTTCCTTCCAATCACCACCCAAAGTCCGTGGTCCTAGAAGATGTGGACCGTTTGGGAATCAAGAACGAGAAAACCAGACCTTCCAAGAGGTGTTTGTAATGAACCTCTTAGAGTTCGACTAGAGGTTGATAAGAGGTGTCCAAAAACCGTCGGTCGGAAGGTCCTCGGCCTTTCCAGGGACAGACGCTGGGTCTCCGCTTCCGTCTGGCCGCTTCCGTCTGGCGGCTAGGAGCTCGAGCGGCCTGGCGTGGCAAGTCCTGGAGAAGGGCGGCAAGGGGTGGGGCACCTCAGTGGTGACTTCCACCTGGGTAGCTGGTAGGATTCACCGGTGGGTCATCACAGGTGAGCAATGGCACGTGCGTTTGGGCCCTCAAGTTCAGTGGTAAACCGAGGGAGCACCATATGTCTACGACATCTTTGGGTGCCATGTGCCATCTAAAATGAACCACTGTACACAGAAACATGGTCATGGGTGGCATAGGTAGAAGCAGTTAAGCAATGCAAAACCCAATGAAATGGTGGTATGTTGAGGTAAAGAATGGACACCTGAGAATACAACGACTCAGCCCCCTGCCCTTTCTTCCAAACATGCACAGGGAGAAGCTCGGTTCAGCTTGTTAGTTTTGAACAACAAAACACTTACCTCGCATGCCACACATTTGGTCCAATTATGTCCAATTCACTTGCTCACAATGATCCTCGAATCCTCACAGCATGGCAGGACGCCTCCTCTCTTGGCAGACACCGTCATCGTGAGGCACGTGCACCGTGCAACATCAGAGATCTCTCTGTCCTTGGAGAGAGATGGCTTCGAAGAAAGAAGACGTCAGCCAAGGGCTTTCTGGCTATTTACTTTCTTTACTGAGTAAGCGTAGTGTAGTGGTGTACTAGATTGTAGTACAGCCTAGTTAGCTGAATCGGATTCCTATCCTGTGGCGCATGGACACCTGCAAAGCCTACAGTGGGAAGCTGGGGACTCTCCACTAAAGAATGGTTCTACTTCGGTTTTGAGAGGATAACCTACCTCGCAGACATCAAACAACCGGTCATCTAACTGTCTCATCCAGGGGCCAGATTGAAACCAAAAAGGTTTTCACAGCTGCATGGCAGATGAAGCTGATCTGGAGGTAGTTCATCACGGATGAACACTTCAGGGAGATTGCGCAATGCAGTCTTACGCCGGGTCTTTCCAAGATCGCCAGCCGGGTCAGTGAAATCATTCTCCACCCATAGACAGCGTGGTGTGGTACCTCTAATTACACCCTGGAAGACTAACATGGACCCTGAAAACCCCTGGTTGGTAGAGGAAAACACTCTTCCAGGGGGCCATTGTCAGGGTCTATACTAGTTTTCGAGAGTGTAGACGGTCGTAGATGAATGCCCAGCCCAGGCGCATGACATGTTGGATGCCCTAAACTCCGAAGTGACGATTGCAGCTTCGTCCGGATCAACCAGCCAGACGCCCAACAAAGTCTTTCTTTCAGGGTACTCTCAGGAGAACTTCAACCAGCCAGGTCAACTGGTGTCAGCTAGGTCAAGAGTGGTTGACCACATGACCAACACACGAAACCACCTGGCGCGTGCCAGGTGGATTGGTTTCGACACCGAAGACTCGGAAGGCGATACATCCAAAGACCCCAAGACCAGGCTTTAAGCCGGTGACCGTCTGGATGCCGAAAACCTTAGGGTGAGACTTGGTCTTCCTGGCAGATTCCAGTGATGGAGGCTTTTCATGAGCCTCCATGAAACCGATATGATGTCTTTCGTCGGAGTGTACGACCCTTTCCATGACCCCACATCGGCATGGCCGCACGGCCAAAGAGGCTTCGGGCGCGCTTTTTCCGCTCGTGCCGCTCGTCCCGTTCGTCCGCGACGGAAGGTATACCGGGTGGAAGGCTGAAGACGGATCACTGATTGATAGCCTGGCCACCTGGATCCCTTTTTCCACGCCAAACGGACCGCGGGTGGGGGGGGGCTGGTTCGTGGGGGTTCGAGTTCGCCACCGGCGTCTCGACACGTGGATGAGAGACTCCAGAGTCCCAACCACCCTGTAAAGAAGGGAACTCTGGAGTAAGCAAGCCATATTGGAACAACCATTTGTGTCTGGTTGATTCTGGTTGGGTCTGGGTTTCCTGCCTGCTTTTTCACGAAAATCGATGGGAGTTGAACGTGAAGATTTTGTCGTGATTTTTCACTGGTGCGAGCAAGACATTCGTGTTGACAAAACAATCCATGCAACTGGTACACGAGTGGGCCTTCGTGTCTTGTCCAGAGAGCTTGCAAGCTTTGAACAACAGATATGTTCAAGCTCTTTCAGTTCATAGGCGAGAAGCTATCCGTCCAGAGTATGTTCCAAAAACTCAATCTCGGACATCAAGTGGACCAGGTCTGGCAGATGATTTATTTCAACAGCGGATGGAGAAGTTCGATGGCACCATTCCCGAGTTCGGTGGTTCACTATGGACCCCCGCATCTATTCAAGACCTCTTGAGGTGCCCGCACGGGCGATCTGTGGCGGGCGCTCCTGAGCGGGCTCGGTGGGCCTGGGGCTTGGAGCGCTGAGGTTCCTACCTTCGGCAGGAGACGACCAAGGTGAAGATGACGAGTGTCATCCCAGGCAGGGAGCTGTGGAGGGTGTTAGTACAGGGGCCGGGCTTCCTGTGTGGCGCCAGGGGTGAGAGGAGATGAATACATCATGGGGCAGGTGGAGTATTCGGTGAGGTTCATGTGGAGTACGTGCCAGATGTTCCACATCTGACTCTAGATCTCTGATGGATCCTGATCCTACTTTTGAGGAAAGTGACCAGATCCCGGACGAAAAGAGACTAAGAGACTCCCCGAACACCACCAGAGTCGACCGGAGTCCCGGTTGCAAAGTCACGGGAGATTTTGCAGGAAGAGTGGAGGGACTTCTCTCCGGGTGGATGGTGCACCTGCCAGCACTTCAGTTACAGGAAGGTTCGTTGGCAGCCTTCCCATCCCATGAATGGGTAGCCAAACAGCACACCCTCTTCCACTTCGCCATTGTTACTTTTTTGGAGGGGGGTTGGAATGCCAAGGGCTCGTTTCGCATCAACTTGGCACCCATTTGCACCCTCCACTTAGACCCCTAGGACCCGCGACCGGGACGTGCTTCCGAGGCTGGAAGGAGGGCCTCATGATGATGTCGCCCGGGGAGAAGCGAAGGCGAGTGTCGCAGTCTGCCCACCTACGGGGCGGCCGGGGGCGACCGGGGGTCTCATCGTGCCCGTGGGTTGGAGGCCATCGCTACGTAGGTTGGAGGCCATGGCTATTAGGTTCTTTCGGCCGGGTTGGAGACCATCGCTAGTGAGCGTGGCTGCTACTCACCACCCCCTTCTGGTGAAGGGAGATGATCATCCAGCTTCTTCGGGATCGACCCGTAGCTCACGTGGTCGACCCGTCGCTCACGTAGCTCCTTGCTGATTCTTCTCCGACCGCATTCGATGAAGCGTCAATGAAGACTGGGGTCTTTCACGTTGATGGTCTGCATAAGTGTGCATCAGGCAACTTGGACCACTCCTTTCCCACCTGTGCAGTCGGCAAGCCGATTGCTGAGTGTTTGATAGTGTTTGATATACCACGAACAGCCAAGTTGTCACAGCACCAGGTGATGATTTACAGTAGTTTCTGCAGTCACGGCGACCCGGTGCTAAAGAAATGAACTGGTGGTCAAAAGTGGTCAGTTTTTCGTCACTGTTGTGCAGCTTCATGCAGCTTCGGTCAACATCTTGCAGTGCAAGAGACCGGCTCAGGAAAAATGATCTTCAAACACCACACTGACGCGGTGAATCAACATGCACCTATCCATTCCCAACATCTTTGTACCCTGTACATCTCTGTACAACATGTGTTCCCAACCAGACCATGCTGGATGTTTCAATGAGTATACTTTAAAAAAAGAACCACATCCAACTTTCAAAAGAAACGGATTATGCCAACCCCAATGGCATTCCGATGGCCCGACCAACGCTTCTGACCGACACGGCCGCAGGTTCTGGATTCCCGCCTCTTTGGGCTTTGTCGTGGACCGAGTTTCAACGAGCCGACGGTGGGGAAAGCGCTGGGTCGGCTCTTTTCTTTGGTTTGTCACAAGCTCGCACAGGATACGCACACACACACATATATATATATATGCAATGCGAGCATTGTGACAGTTTGCTGTCCAACCGCCACCAGTCAAGTGGATCAAAAGAAGCTGTCCAAGGGCCAGTTCGAAGTCGCACAGCCACTTCATAGGAAGAGCCCCGTAGGTTTCCTTGTCCTCTGGACTTGAGGTAGACGTAGGCTGTGCTGACCGCTTACATGGTAGCGGAGCCCAAGGTGGCGTCCGAGTAGATTTGATTTGTATAGCTGTAGGTGTTAGACCCCTACGAGCAATGACAGCGATCGAGCGCAGCAAGGATGGTGTGCCCCAATGGGATGGCTCAGCGAGCACATTCCAAGAATATAGTGAGCTGGCGGAGCACTGGGAACAGACCGTGCCATACCACAAGCGGTACCTATGTGGACCAAAACTCATGAATGAATTGTCAGGTACTGCAAGACGCATCATCATGTCGAAGCGTCCAGGATGGCTATCCCACAATGGAGGGGTTCAGACCCTGCTAGCTCACCTTCGCCAGCATCTTGGCCTGCCGCAGCTCTCTGAGATGAGTGAGTACATGAACCGATACTTCAAACAGAGCCGAAAGAAGCGCAATGAATCCATGAACGAGTACATCACTCGGAAAGCAGAGCTCTATGCCCGTACTGAGCAGACTCTTCAGAGGGCACAGAGTCACTATGCCCCACGCTCCAAGGCAGGAAGCCTTCCTGCCATTGAGGAGCCCCTGACACCGCCAGAAGATCCAGTGTATCATGATGCACAGGAGGAACAATCTGCTCCTCCATCCACAGGAAATGAGTCAGCCGGAGATCCAGGGCAACGTACTCCGTCAGGTTCAAACCAATGGGACTGGAACACTTGGCGAGACTGGGGAGCTCATGGGTGGGACTGGAATGACTCTCAATGGCAGGACCGGGACTGGCAACCAAGCCAGACGTCATGGCACACAGACTTCGAAGCCAAGCCCAGGGTGCAACTTCTACCCGACTTTGTCCAAGGCTGGTTCCTCCTACAAGACGCCGGACTGGACACCAATGAGAAGAATATGATCCAGTCCGCCCTGAAGAATGACTACCGATTCCACAGAGTGGCGCAAGAACTACGCTGCCAGTGGAACGACGAAGACCTCAGGAAGAGAGATCAGGGTGGTCGAGCGACAGCCTGGACTGTGGAAGAAGAAGACCATGATCCATTCACCGGAGACCTGGAAAGCACGGACCTGAGCCTCTTGGCCTCAACAGGACTCAATGCCGATGGGTTGGCATTGGTCAATGAAGCTGAGTTAGATGCTCAGGAGGCCTTGGCTATGATGGAGAAAGGTCGGAGGACCTTGAGAGAAGCCCGGGCACGACAGCAGTATGTGAAGTTGAGCCGTCAGTATTACGGCAATCCAGGTCGATCTTTCGGAAAAGGTGCACCCGGACATGCGAGAAAGGAGAACCCGAGTACAAGCTCTGCGAGGTGTCTGAGTTGCGGAGGACAACACAGGACAGATGAATGTCCCAAGAAGCAGAAGAGCTTCCAGAGCCAACATGAACCTGACGACCAAGCTCCCTTCATTTGCTTGACAGATCAGGTCCTCGCCACCGACTACACGAATGAAAAGATCACGACACAACAAGCTGTCCTACAAGGGAAAGCGGTCGTGGACGGTGGTGCAACACGCACGTTGGGCTCTGTCGTGGCATTGGAACACCTCATGCGCCTCAACCAAGAGCAGAGCGGAAAGGATGGACTCTCAAAGCTGGACACCACTCAGAGGCCAGTTTTTGGCTTCGGAAATTCCTCCAAGGACCAGTGCCTGTCGACGGCATGGATGTCCATCCAGGCCGGTGGCCGGTCCGGCCAGTTGAAAGTCCACACCTTAGATAAGGGTTCAGGACCAATTTTATTTTCGATAGAGACTTTGCGAGCCCTGGGAGCTATCATCGATTTTGAGCATGATATGATTTGCTTTCGAAAGCTCGATCCAGGCCGCATAATTCAGCTTGAACAGTCAAGTTCAGGCCATCAGTTGATTCCCCTCACCCAGGATTGGTACGAGGCCTCCTCACCAGCTAAGGAGCCCGTCTGCAGTTTGAAGGACATGATTTAGGGACAACTCCTCTCTTCGTCGCCGTCTGCCGACAAAAGAGAGGACCAGTATGCTGCAGACCTGGGTGAACAGTCAAGCCACAGTCAAACTCTTGAAGGAAGACGTGTTGTTTTTGAAGAGAGTGATTTTCAGTGTGTTGTCGATTCGTCGTTGAAGGGAAAGGGACATCCACAAACGACACACTGTGATACCACACAAGACAAATACCACCACAAACTACATGACACACATGAACAATCCACACACGCGGCAGCCGCAACAGCTCGAGAGGCAGAAAACCACTCTTTGGCTATCCAGCCTTCCTCGATTTCCAGCGGACATGCCCACCATGAAGAAACCAGAACTCATCCAGGCCCTGAAGGACCTGGGAGAGACTCCTCCAAAACAATGGACCGCGCTGGAACTCGAGACCCGCCTTTCCGAGCTCCGAGTGGAGCAAGGCCTGCCCGAGTTCGATTCCAAGAAGACTCGGACACCACTCCGGCAGATGATGGTCGAGCTGAACCGTGCTCAACGTCTGAAGCACGAGCTGGTGGAACATGTCTCCAAGACTCTGCGAGTGCCCCTGACCGGGACCGAGACCATCAAGGTCCTGATGCAGAAGGGCATGGCAGCCATCTACGACCAAGCTCCAGCGAGGGGCCAAGACCCAGTCGGGTTCGGGAAGCATGCCAGCCTGAGCTACGAAGAGATCTGGATCAGTCATCGCTCCTACGCCACATGGGTGATGGACACCTCATGGGAGAACGGGGACGATGCGTGCCCCCGACTTCACCGCCTGGCCAATTGGCTGGAGGAGCGAAAGAAGAGAGTGGACATTGCCACACCACGAAAGGCAGCAGCTTCATCTCACACAGATCCAGCGGTGCCGACAACCCAGAAGAGCATGACCGGACCATCAGGGACATCATCCGGCTACGAGAAGCCGAACCCCGGATCCGATCCCAAGACACACGAGATGATCCAGATGTTGGCCAACACCGTGGTGGAGCTCAAGGAGGAGATGTCAGCCCTGAAAGGAGAGTTGCCCCGCAAGGGTCAACGATCAGTTCCTTCGGAGGTCACGGACCAGAGTTTCGAGCTGATGCCTCAGTGAGTTTGGGCCTTAGCAAAGACCTTAGCTGCAGCGACCATAGTTTGAGACATGGTTATGTCTCAGAAGGGATGGAACAGGCAAGCTCTGCGAAACGTTTGAGTAGTGGAATGAACAGACATTTGTCTCAGAAAACAGATTCCATGTTGCCTGACACCATCCAATCCTTGGCCCTGCACGAAAGGTGTGTTTTGTTAGAAATCGCTTGTAGCCAGGAGAGTTTGTTGAGTAGCACCATGCACACTATAACTGGCTCGGAGAAATCCGCACAGCGACTTTCGATATGGAACCACTTCGATCTGAGCAAAAATGACGGTGTCCGCTCAATCTTGGACCGCATCGATCGAGAACGCCCATACCACACCTGGCTGTCCATGGAGTGTAGCCCCTACTCAGTCATGCAAAACATTAACCAGAGAACCCCTGAACAGAAGGAACAACTGGAACAAAAACGCCGTGAAGTTCTCAAACAATATGTAGGTGGAGCGATTGTGTTTCAATACTGCATCCAAAGAGGACTCCACGTGACCTGGGAGTGGCCTCAGACATGCCAGGCATGGAGATTGCCTCTGGTGCAGCACCTGATGCGAAAGTACCGTGTGCATTTTGCTACCACTAGAGGTTGTCAGGTGAACCTAAGGGATCAGGCCGGAAGGTTTATCTCTAAGGGTTGGAAGCTCATGTCTACTAGCTACCACATGGCTCAACGTATGGACCTCCCATGCACTTGTAAGAAGGAAACGACACACGTGAGTTGTGAGGGTTCTTTGACACGCCAAACAGCTTTTTACACGCCGGAGTTCGCTAGGAGGGTTTGTGAGACCATCCTTCAAGGAGACGCACCCCAAGAGATTCGAAAAGAACTGGAGGGTTGTTTTGAGGGTTGCGATCTGTTTGGTCGTGGTTTGATGTGTGTTTGTGAAGACGGAAAACGACACGATGCAAACCTCCAGTGCGGTTCATGTCGGAGTGATCTGACCGGGATCCTCGCTGCTGACGAGGAAGTTCCATGTTCACTTACCAAAGACCAAATTCACAAGAAACTGTACCTCCTCCATTCGGCTACCGGACATAGCCCCACCAAGTACCTTGTTCAGGCGCTGCGACGCCGAGGGGTTCACAAGAAAATAATTGAGGAAGCAGAGCGCTTCACCTGTTCCGTATGCGCGGAACGTGCACGTCCGCAGCCCAGGAATGTTGCGGCACTTGAACCCCAGCCACCAAAGTTCGCGACTTTGTCGGCAGACGTGGGAAACTTCATACAACCAAACACAGGTGAACACGTTCAATTCGTGCTGTTTGTCGATGAGGGATCTAGGTTTCGGGTGGCCCGAATCGTCACGAAAGGTAAGAAACAACACCCATCGGCCGCACAGTTCATCACAGTGCTCAAAGAAGCTTGGATATCCTACTTTGGAACCCCCTTGAATCTTCGTTTAGACCCCGATGGCGCTTTTCGGAGTAGGGAGTTGCTGGAGTACTGCGATCAACATCAAATATTCCTGGATATCATTCCAGGCGAAGGACACTGGAAGTTGGAAACATGTGAACGCAGTATACAAGCAATAAAAGAGTTGCTGTACAAGGTATGTTCCGACATGCCAGATATTTCCATGGAAGATGCCCTGTCGGAATGTGTTCGTGTCCTCAACAACAGAGAAGTTGTACGCGGTTATTCACCGATTCAACATGTGTTGGGAAGAGCACCAGACGATACAGGGCGATTCTTCACACCGGACACCGCCAATTCACCAGACCTCTTGTCAGAAACGCCAGCACAAGAACATCAGCGAATAGCAGAGTTACGACTAGCAGCTGAGAAGGCGTTTCTTGACTGGAACAACAACCAAAGATTGAGTAGAGCAAGAAACTCCAAACACCATCGGTTGTTGGATTTTACAGCAGGTGATTTGGTGTATATTTGGAGGAAACAAGTGACCGGTAAGGATGCACAACCAGTGAAAAGTACACATGGAAAATTTGTTGGGCCAGCCCGGATCCTTGCTACAGAAAACCGGAGAGATGACCAGGGTCATCTAATTGCAGGATCCTCGGTATGGTTAGTCAGAGGCCGTAGATTGTTGAAATGTTGTCCAGAACAGTTGAGACATGCCTCCGAACGCGAGAAAATCCTAGACGAGTTGCATTCAGAAGAGTCCCAACCATGGAGCTTCCCGAGAGTAGCAGAAGAGTTGGGAGGAAATGACTATGAAGATTGGTCAGAACATCCAGAAGAAAGTGAATGGCAACGTGCAGGAGACCCTCGACATGAATGGCAACCACATGTTCGACAACGAGGCAAACGACCTATGCCACCAGACTACGAGGTAGACGTGTGTCCAGAAGGATCTGCCAGTAGCCGGTTGAGGCGATCAGATGACTTCCATGAAGCCCCAGATGAGAACATGCTGGCACAAAGCCTGATTCCACCGTGTGGATTCCAGTCGGGAACAACATGGATCCAACAAGTCAAAGAGACAGCATTTCTCACAGAAGAGGAAGAAAGTTTCTGGCAACAAGAGACCGCAGCAGTATCCATTGAGATTGACATGCCACAGACACGAGGAGCTTCAGAACGAGCTTTCAAGAACCTGAGTGCCTTTCTGGTGTCAGCCATGAAAAGAAAGACCATAGAAGTCTCAGAGAAGCGAATGACCCCAGAAGAACGCATCGCCTTCCAGAAGGCAAAAGCAGTGGAGGTCTCCAACTTCATTGCCGCAAAGGCGTTTGAAGCATTGCTGAAGGGATACCGAGCTCGAAGAGAAGACGCAGTCAGGATGAGATGATCCTCATCTGGAAGCAACTGCCAGATGGTGGCCGGAAGGCAAAGGCAAGAGCCGTGTTGCTTGGCTATCAGGACCCTATGTATGAAGGACGAGCAACGACGTCACCAACGACTACCAGGCAGACGAGACAGATACAGCTGACCGTAGCGGCATCCAAGGGCTTCCAGACCCGCAAGGGTGATGTCACTGGAGCCTTTTTGCAGTCGCGAGAGTACCCAGATGAGTTGCTATGCATCCCATGTCCAGAGATTCTGGAGGCGATGGGATTAGCGCCAGAGACCATGACAAAAGTTCGAAAGGCATGCTATGGACTGGTCGATGCGCCACTTGAGTGGTACAGATCGATCAGTGAATATTTCCATACATTGGGACTTCGACGTTGTTGGTCAGACCCATGTTGCTGGACTTTTGTGGACAAGAACGAACTTCAAGGCATCATATCAGGACATGTCGATGACTTTGTCTTTTCAGGAAATGAAGATAACGTAGCCTGGAAGTCAGTCTTGGAGTCCATACAGAGACAATACAAATGGTCAGATTGGGAAAGCGAACAGTTCACACAATGTGGCATCAAGGTTGAACGCTACGCAGATGGAACCTATGCACTTTCCCAAGAAGCATACATTGAAGAGCTGAAGTACATCAACATTCGAGCTCATAGAAAACAAGACAAACACAGCGAAACCGATGACTGGGAGAAAGGACAACTTCGAACCTTGCTTGGAGGTGTCAGCTGGTTGGCACAACAGACAGCACCACACTTCTCAGCAGAGACTAGCTTATTGCTATCAGAAGTTTCACGCAGTACCGTAGAGACCCTGCATCGTGCAAACAAGCTGATGTGTCAAGTGAAGGCCATGAAAGACCACAAACTCTTGATCCCCAAACTCCGTTTGGACTCCCTGGGTTTGTTTGTTTGGTGTGACGCCGCAAACCAGAACCGGATTGATGGCAGTAGTACTCAAGGCTATATCATAGGTGCCTCACACCTCAACATGCTCGAAGGAGCTTGTGAACATGTTTCCCCGATTGCTTGGAACTCATCCCGTATTCAACGGGTTTGCAGAAGCCCCGGAGCGAGTGAAGCAGCAGCAGCAGTAAATGCTGAAGATGCCTTGTATTTTGCAAGGTTTCAATGGTCCGAAATGATAGGCAGGCCCATGCATTTAAGACACGTGAACGAAGCCGTGAACACCGTTCCAAGTTGCTTGATAACCGACTCGAGAAACGTATACGATAAGATGAAGACTGAGGTCGTATGCACCCGAGGTACAGAGCGAAGAGTAGACATCGAGCTGATGAGTTTGAAACATGGCCAGCTAAGGAACGCAGTGGTTATTCGATGGGTACACAGCGACGCCCAATTGAGCAATTCGCTGACCAAGAACGAGCAGAGGCAGTTGCAGCTGTTCTACAAGATGCACCAGAAGTGGCGCATTGTCCAAGACACCAACATGGCATCCGCCAAGAAGAGGAAGGAACAGAACATAGACCCACTGACAAACAACATCACCTCACAACATGAACCAGACAAGCAACAGAACGACAGTAACTAGAAGTCCCGGACCTGGAAACGCGCTGTTTCGTGGTTCGCTTGTGTTTTCTTGTTCAAAGAGTACGCAGTGGCTTGATTGCATTTAAAGGGGACCCGGTGGCATGCAATGCGAGCATTGTGACAGTTTGCTGTCCAACCGCCACCAGTCAAGTGGATCAGAAGAAGCTGTCCAAGGGCCAGTTCGAAGTCGCACAGCCACTTCATAGGAAGAGCCCCGTAGGTTTCCTTGTCCTCTGGACTTGAGGTAGACGTAGGCTGTGCTGACCGCTTACATATACATATATATATATATATTGGCAGCCCCACACCGCGCCCCGCGCGGCCTTTTCCGCCATTCGGGCATGAGAGTCCCTGCACAGTCGCGACAACACTCCTCTTAAATATTTTTGTACGTCCGAGTGATCTTCGAACCCGGAATCACGCTCTGGCTGGCCACCGATCCGTCGCCACGAGCGCGAAAATACTCAACCAAATCACGAAGGCCCGGTGACCCGGATTGGTAATGGGAATGGCAATATGCTCGATACCCAGAGATCTCTGAGTCCGTGGCTTCGTACATCTCGCTGTACGACTTGATGCCTTTGTAGCGTCCGAATGCTACCAGCGTCTTGCCCCATTGTGTCACATCGGCCACCCCTGGTGGTAGGCCTTCTGTACCTGGCAGAGGAGTCGGCTTCTCTGAGGATGATGGCATGGGTGGCGCCGGAACAAGCTGGCCTGCACAGTATGGCGTGGTCTGCTTCACATACATTCCGACTTGGTTCGCTGACGAATCCTCTCGAAGCCTCTTGCTGCCGTCCGTCATGGACCCGGATGGTGATCCGAGCCAAGCCTCATCCAACTCCACATCTTCAAGGTCGCGAACCCGGCGCATGATGGTGTCAAAGGCACCGTGCTTTCGAGCCTTCCGAATGAGTCGAAGGCACTCTTCGGCCTCCGTTTGAGAGAAGGCATCTTTGGAACTGGTCATGGCCATGACGATCGGTCGTGAGTCACGGGCGAACAGCCGAGTGCTTTTCCCCCCCCTAAGCTGGAGAATCCTGGATCCACAAGCACGGGGATCAACACATGACGCTGCCTAAGGTTATTAACTTAATTTGAAGCCTCGACAAGACATGTTCTATCACGTATTGAAAAGGCGTCACTAACACAAAAACATGCATACCACTGCTTTCACAGATTGACATACCGACGAACGAAACGGTCCAAAACACAATGCCCCAATTAGCCAACTCTTGAATGCTCACATTCCTTTCGATCTAACCCTTGACTTGCGGTGCCCGATGGATCGATGGGCTTTGAAGCGAACTGTTTTCTTCGCTCACGTTCAAGGGCTCTGCGTTCTAAGACGAGCTCTTCAGGGCTGATCTGATACTTTGCACTTCTAAGGCAGGCACGCAACAGGTCGAATGCTTCAGGGCTCTCCCTTGTTAATGAGTCTGCAAGCATACGGTTGGTCGGAATCCACCTCAAGGTTGCCTTCAATCTACGGATGCTATCACGGAGAATTACTATGTCTATCGCTGTTCTCCTATCATCGAGTGTAGGGGATGATTGAGACATGAGATGGTCATATAATGACTTGCAATCCGTCACCAACATGATCAGTCGGTTTCCTAGTCCCTCCCACAGGCTATGTGACCACCTAGGGCCATCTAGTGCTTCTGACATGAGGAGACTTGTCCATTCCAACATGCTAGATGCTGTTGACATACTCTGAGCCTCTGCGCTAAGAGTGGAACTGACGACCCTCGGCAATCTTGAGCTCTTCCAAAAGGCAGGGGTCCATTTACAGTCGGATCCTTGATTCACCTGTTCGTGAACGAAACTAACCATGTAACCTGCCTGAGTGGCACCGGCCTTAGCATTGGCGAAGGCAGCATCTGAGTGGCACATCAGTCCGAGGTTCTCGGGTGGAATTGCGCAAAAGCGGATGGACTGGTCACAATGCTGCTTTGCTCTTCGCACTGCATGATTGGCAGCGATGGCGTCGCCAACTGTCGGCGTTGGGAACGCCTGCTGAGAAAAGGACACTTGAGTGGCCAAATCCGGCCTGGACTGATTCGCCAACCAATTGAGACTACCGTTGATTGCCCTTAAACAGCTGATCTCCTTCGAGTCTAGTGGTGCCTCTTTATCCCTGGCTCTTTCTCGGCTGAGGTGAAGGGGTCGAATCTTTTGGGAAAACCGTTCTTGGCTCATGACAATTTCATATGTTTGTGGGTCTTGTTCATATTGACTACCACAGAAATCTCCTGAACCCAAACGCCATTTTCGAAAATCGAAAGTCTTACGAAGTTTGTCTATGGCTTGATGGTATCCCGGTCCAGTCCCTCCAGTCACACAGTCGTCGACATGAACGCCATAAACACCAGTTAACCTCCCTTGCTCCCGGAAGTAAAATAGGCACGAATCGAATCGAGACCGTTCAAAACCTGCTTGGATGAGTTCATGATGAAGCTTCTTGTACCATGCGGCCGGCGAGTCGTTGAGTCCGTACACGTGTCCGCAAATCTCTATCAAGGCATCTTCAGGAACTCCGGGGATACCCCCTCGGGGTAAACTGGCGTATAGTGGACGATATCTTTGTGGAAGGTTGCCAGCAGCTAGGAAGGCTCCTTTTATATCCCCTAGGGCCATGCTCCATTGGTATGATGCTATCAGTTGGAACAACAGGTTGCGACCAACTTGGCTGATGGTTGGGCTTTGCAGGTCTCCATGCATGGCCTTCTCACTGAGGTCCGGGTCCAGGTGACCCTGTAGACACCAACGGGCTCTCATGCGTGGTGCACTGTCATCTTCCTGTTTGATGGTAATGACATACCGGCTTCCCATGATCCGATGACTTAAATGCTGCCGGACATTGTCGGCCTCTGGACCTAGTACTAACCGAGCAGCATGCTTAGCCAGGATGGTGTTCCATTCCAACAGTTTGGCCTCATCGATTTTGATTTGGATTTCTGGTGCATTGCCAATTACGGGAAGTTCCTTGGAGGCTTTCTTCTTCACGTAGGCTGCTACTAATGCTTCATGACATGCCCCCTTTTGATACATGTCTATCAACTCATTGATATCTTCTAGTGACAGGTCGTGATTCTTGGGACTATGATTGTGCTGACTGAGACATTCCACTGAACAGATGGCGACTTCGTCTTTGACATAGGTCTGACCTACCTCTTGCACGCACAGCTCATCTACATCGATGTCTTGACTGGATTTCTTACCGGGTGGTTGATCACCTGGCCCAGGCTCATCGGCAGGTCGCTTGAGACCCTTGTGTGACGAGGCAGTGGACTCTGGCTCAACCGGTTCCGGACCAGATGGAGTCGGCTCTGTGGAGTGCATGACACGTTCTATCAACTGTGGTACTATTTCCTGCATCATTTCTTGGAAATCATCTTGTGCCATACGGCCCGGCCGGTACAGAGCAGCGGGTCCATCTTTTTGAGAAATCCGCCTGCGAGTGGGACGAACGGGGCCATATCCTGTCTCTGGAGCTACAGTCTCAGCATTAGTTGGAGGCTCTGGTATCCCTTTTGTAGTACTACCTCTGGCATACGGCTCTGGTTGATAGTCTGTGGCCTTATCTTCAACACTAACCTGATTATCCCCAGCACCAGATAGTGGCGGAGGCGCACTGTTGACCCTCGGCTCACTCGGACGCACGGAGGACAGCTCAGGCTGTGAGTGTTCAGTCCGGTCGGACACTGCTGATGGTTCATCAACAGGCACAGACTCTCCGGGAGGCATTGCTGGCTGACCAGGGTACTGTTCTGGCACTAGGTCGATGTACTGCTTACTCTCAAGCTTACCGGATTCAACCAAGTGTTTGATGCCCAACAGATCCATGTGTGGCGTCTCTATGAGTTTCTTTTCGTCCTGAGTAGATGGTCGAACTTGTTCTGGGGCACACCTGAAGATCTGACGTTTGTGAATAAGAACTATGTTCCGACCCACATACCCTAACACTACCGCAGGACCATGCCATCGACCAGTTCTGTCGAGAGACCCATGAATCCATTTCTGCGAACGCCAGAAGGCGACGTATGTTCCAGGTTCATGCCACTGGTTTGCTCGTGGTCGAGCCGCAAGTGCCAATCGAAGTGATTTGCTATCCTGCAAGTCCAACACGGCTTTCCGAGCAGACTGTCGGATGGCCACTTGCCTTGCCAATGCCTCTTCGTACAAGGACGAGGTTGCAGGCACGATATCGAGAGGCTCATCGAGCAGGTTCTCTGGAATCCGAGGATTCTTGCCGAACACAAATTGGGATGGTGTCATCCCGTACACTTGGATTAACTGGTTCTTGCAGTGGGCGGCGTTGACGCAGTCGATCCACTGATCTTGATTAGCTGGGACATGCTCGGTGAGGACTTTTTCGAGAACCCGTGCGAACCAACCTCCGTGCACCTCGACTTTTCCTAATTGCCAGTGGGCGTCTGCCGCTATCAACTTAAATGTGGCGCCACCCTGCTCCAAGATAGATGCAAATGCATCTGCCAGATTAGCTCTATGTGGATCGCACACGATCTCTTGCGGCATACCTGCCCAGGATACCCATCTTTCCATGAAGACCCTCTTGAGGATTTGGGAGTTCTCTCTTTGAAAAATAGGCACGACAATTTGCAGGGAACTAGCATGATCTATGATGTTCACAGCTGGAATCCTTTGGTTTACCCCCCAACCCGGAAGGTACTTGATATCAACACCTACCAAGGCATTGAATTCGACAACCCTTTGTGGTTGAGAAGGCAGGGCTACCTTTGTGCTCTTCTGCGCAAGACATTGATCGCAATGGAAGTTTCTGGCAGCATCAATGGCTGTCTGAGACGCACCTCCATGTTTCAAGATCCTAAGCATGTGTTGATTGGTTGGATGACCCAAATTTTGATGTAACCTTTTTAGGCTAGTCTTGACCTTGTCGTCGGATTCTTCATTCAGCTCGGCCAATGTATGTGCTACCAGACATTCTGTACTACTGTCGTCTACGAGGACCAGGCAGTCTGTCACCGGCAACCCCCGCACGAGTCGCAACACGGCCTTGACAAAGGCTGGTGTATACTTGGCAGCATGCTTACTTATGGATCCTACCCTAGCATGATGACCTGCTACTACTTGATGTGTGCGGTGACCGGCATGCGAGGACCCCGGACATTGCTTGGCCAAAGCTCTCATCTCAGCATGAGACACCAGCAATCGGGTTGCTTTGCGGATGAGGTCTCCACCTGGAACGCGGAGGCCGTAGCAACACATGTCAACCGAGATGATATGCATCTTCTTACTTAGCTTTTCCATGGAGGGTAGCTTCCAGGCTATCGAATCCCTAGGATGCTCAAACAGGCACTGTCCTCCTAATTCGAACTGAAGTTCCATGAGCTCACAACAGAATTTGATGAACAGTTGAGTCCAGAATTCTTTCGCCTTGACGTCGTCAGGGTGCATATGCAAAAGATTAAGATGCCACCACCCTCCCGCCCAAGTGCAGGGCGGACAACAGACTAGAAGCTTTGGTCGGCTGACACGAACGTGCTGCATAAGGGCTTCCCGATCCGATCGTTTCCGAAAGTCCCACCCGGTGCACAGGTCCGCTGAGAGAACCTTCACTCCTAGTTTGGAACCCTCAAGGCCAAAACGAGGTGGTGAAAACACTTCAATCACATCGTATCGATCGAAGTCGTCCCGATTCGGTGCCTTTACTTGGGCCATCAACTGACGGTGTTGTTTGGCCGTCCAGTGCATGATGTGCAACTGTTCTTCCTCAGTCGAAGGGAAGGACGGCGGTGAGACATGATTCAGAAGTCGAAACACCGTGGTACCAGTCCATGGTTTCGAATCATGAGGTGCATGAGCTTCCTTAGACGATGTCCAATCATCCTGAAGGTCCCTGAGTACGGAAGTGGGGTTGTTGACATGAGTGACTCGAACATGTTGCAAATGGCTCACATCGACTGGACACTGCGTGTTGCAGGGAGTGAACCGATGTGTGCGTGGCTTGAGATGATGACGAATCACTGTCCTGTCGTGAGGGCGATATTCCCAATAGTCCTTACACTTACCAACCCTGTGATTATACTCGACCGAGAGACATGGGGATTCCGGCGGCTCGGATGCCGGCATGGGCTCAGGAAACTTGCTCGAGGCGTCATCTGGAAAATCAGTGACGCGGATCGAATACTGTCCAGCTGGATTGATCTCCATCGGAATGCTCACCTTTCCAGAAAACAAGGACAGCTGATCGGTGGCAAAATCGATCTGAGCACCAAGCTTCTGCATCGCCGGTCGTGACAGCAGGAGGGGTGCAGCCCCCTTCACAATGGCAGCTCTGATGTAGCCGGGCCTGCCGGCCAGATAGACAGGCATGTCCACTGCTGCGGTGCTGGTCTCTTGTTGCCCGTTGCCAAACCTGAACCTGTTCTTCTCTGCCCGTTCCGATGGGCATGGAATGCCATGACTCTTCCAGATCTGACAGAAAGCCTCATAGGTGGACCGGCCAATGATCGTCTTGCCGCAACCACTGTCCAGGATAGCATACCCCGGACTGCTGATCAACAACACTTCAATGTCACCACACGTAGCTGCTGTACAAATAAAATGCTCTGTATCCTCTTGATCAACCACCTGCACGGCTCCAGCAGCATGGCTCGCGTGCGATGAAGCACCAGATGTTGATGCTCCGGTGGACTTGCATTCCCGTTGCCAATGGCCAATCTTGCCGCACTTGCGGCAACGAGTTCGCTGTTTGAGTTCCTCCACCTGGATGCGGAAGGAGCGCTTTGTGTCCTTGCCGGCGAACTGTCCCCTTCGGCCATCGGGAGCGCTAAACTTGCGCCCCTTTTGAACCATGTTCAACTCTGCCCTCTTCTCCCGCCAAGTCGCGGCGAGGATCTCTGCGGCATCGTCCTCGTCAATGCCCTCCAGGTCATGACTGTCGTCCTGGGAATGGAAGGCCTCCTCATAGCCATGTTCAGCCAGAAAGAGCTCCACATCTTGGAAGCCGTCATCATCGGCAGGTCCATGTGGTGCTTCCTCAATGGCATGAGCGCCATATGCCTTCTTCTTGGGCACGACGTAGTCGGGAAAACACGATCTCATTGCCTGAGCCAGCTGGTCAAACTTTAGATCACCTTGAGCTCTAGCCAGGCATACTGCACGATGCTCCTCCGACATGCCGCTGCAGTTCAACAGAATCCAGCCACGGGCCTCATCTGGGAACTTGACGCCAGTTTTCCTGGCGCACTTGTCAAAGCATTCTCGGGCCCTTGCGCACCAGACACGAACCGACTCGCCTTCTTTGGCCTTCAAGGCGAAAACCTCGGCAATGTTCTCGCCGATCTCATCGGTTCTATCCAGTTCCGGCCATCGCCGGTCGAGCAGATTGAAGATGGCAGCTTCGCCCCCTTTGACCTGGTAGTCCGTCTCTTTGAGATGCTCGACCACCTCCAGCGCCTTGCCGGATAGCAAGGTCCAAATGAATGAGCCTCGCGCTTCCTCGGGGAGCTTGTCCATCGTTCTCATCTTGTTCAAGGCCCATTGCTTCCATCGTCGGTACTCCCTGTGGTCACAGTCGTCGCCACTGAAGTACCTCAGTGACGTCCCCGCTTCCATCGCTGCACAGTCGCGTGAAACGGCACACGTCCAGCGTGCCCGGAAAATCAAATGGAGCCAGGAATGAACCTGGCTCCGCTACCAATATTGGCAGCCCCACACCGCGCCCCGCGCGGCCTTTTCCGCCATTCGGGCATGAGAGTCCCTGCACAGTCGCGACAACATATATATATATATATATATGAAGTCCGGCCAAAAGTCTATAATCAAGAAAATAGACAACGGGGTCGAAAGTAGCTTATGATGTTGTTTTTTCAATGAGGTTATGTAGCGGGCCCCCAACTAAACACACCTATTCTGCAGCTGGGCGCTAGGTTTGCGGTAGACTTGCGCTAGTGACGCTAGTGTTTGCCTTAGGACATGTTCAGAACGTCGTCAGGTTTTTTGAAAAGTGGCTGGCTGAAAAATGCGCTAGCCGCGCGCTAGCACTGCGCTAGATCCGCGCTCGCAAACATTGCCAGATTCCAGCGTGAACCCTTCCAAGGCTGACTTGCAACATGTCTTTTGTTTCAAGCATGGCTTGAAGCTCGGAGATCAGCTGAAAACGGTGCAGCGCTAGTGACGCCTCCTACAATTTGGCGCCAATACTTGTTTGGTCCATGTTTCCTTCATTGACCTGTGTGTGTGTGTGCCAAAAGTAAAGAATATGTAGCGGGCCCCCATGTGAACACGACTTTCAGCCATTTTTGGAAGAAGACATTTCGACCAGATCCCATATATATATATATATTAATAGAGACTATATAAAACATATCAGGCATCATCAAGCATCCTAACATATAGCCGTTTTTTATCGATTCGTGGTTTGGTGGAGTTCGTTTCGGGTGAGGCGTTTCTCTTTGGGTGTGTTTTCACATCAATGAATTTGAGGAGATTTCAGTGATCCAGCATACACACGTGTACACACGTGGCCTGTGGCTGGTTTTAAGGCAGAAGGCGGAATCAATTGTATGAGATGGTCTTCCGGGATTCGGAGTGCCAATCCCAAAACCCAGGTCCCCGGGTCCGCTCTGGAGAGCTCTCGCCGCTCGCAGGACGACGACATGGATCTCGAAGAGGTGGGCGTCTCGACGCCGAGCGAAGACGCTCAGACGCCGGAGAACGGGTCGTGGAGAACGGCATGAGACGCATCGTCCAAAGCTGATGGGTCGGATGGGTTGGATGCCAAACCGGGCAACCGGTCGCCCGATGGTGGAGGAAGGACTGGCTCCGGCTCCGGTCTACCGGAGCCGCGCGGGGTCGGGGTCGGACGGCGCCAGGGGTGTTTTGGGGTGTCCTCCAATCATATACCTCACAGTTCGATCAGTTCCACCTGCGAAACGAAGGGATCGTCCCATCTTGGTGCGATTTCAGAGACTTTCAACTCGGGCCAGCGGCAGGGTAGAGATTTATGAAGCTTTACGGATGATCAGCATGCCATCTTTGCCGAGATCTCCGGCCGAGATGACGGGTGCAAGAAATCTTTGGCGCGTCTTGATCTTTGGCCCTTTGCCGGGCGTTTTGCTCTTCCAGTCCCAGGTCCAAGTCAAGTCCACGCAACACCAAAATCCTGCTTTCCGATCCGAACTTTTTCAGAGATTTGACGATCTAATCCCTAGGCTTCCAACCACCATGATTTAATAGGCTTTACCAAATCAACTTGGTCTTGGAATGGGTGTTTCTGGCTGAGATCCAGTCCACGCGAGCCGCGGGGGTCGCTTCACCCCCACCCGCGACAGGCACCGGGGCCGCCCGGCGACTTGATCTACGACGTGGAGTTCGTTGGGGTCGGGAGCGTCTGACCGGCTTCGCGTCTGACTGGAGGGTTTGAGGGTTTCAGGGTGTCTCAGGGGTTGAGCTTTTGGGAGTAACAAGAAGCGTTTGAAGATGCTTTTAAGGGTCCTTACCCCAAGCGAAGCATCGTCAGACACGAAGGATTTTGGACAAAAAAGCCACCAGGAGTCCCAAGTCCCGGGTCGTTGAAAGACCCTAAGCGAGTGGATCTGATGTTCACCCCGACTTCCCTTCCATCCATGGACACCCCAAGTGCCGGAACTACCAGGTGAGCCTTGCTTTGAGTCTAAGACTGGAGAAAGCTGGACACGTATGAAGATTGAAGATCACTTCTTTTGGGAGCCAGGGTTTGCTGTGAAATATCGCGTTCCAGGACGCGAAGCAAAATATCGCACCACGAGCTGAAGAAAGACCTTTTTCCACTTGATCGGCAACTGACAAAATCACTTTGACCCTGCATGGGGCAGGTTGCGGAAAGTGCAGATGGACAAGAGAAACGCTACTTTCCTCCCTTGCCCAAGTCTGCAACATCTAGTACCCATGGGGTCCAGGAGGTTTTCCAACCGGTGGAACTTTTTCAGAGTCGCGTGAGCGGTTGAGTTCTCATTCGCCCGAGAAGTTCAGAGGCTTTTGGTTGGGGACGTGTTCTGTTGTTCTCGCTTGGACGGTCGATCCCCGTTGCGTGATTGAGCTAGAAGGGAAAGCAGGCTGAAAGTTACGTCAATGCCGGATGGCACAAAAAAACCTGATAGACCCCACGAACCCGAATGTGAGATATAAGTGAAAGGAGCGGATTGATATCGGACATGACATGGGACAGCAAATGAGAATCTTCGAGATGCCTTCGAGATGTCTGAGAGTGACCTTCATGAGCTCGCAAAAAGCCAAGAAAATCATGGCTGATGCGACAGCGTTCATGAGGTGTTGCCTTTTTCACACTCGCTCATGCACCGGCCTTCGAACAGGCCTTGAGCCGTGGGCTCGAGCTAAAAAGGCCGCACTGAGCGGCTGATTGTTTTTCGTGTGCCACTCGGCGTGGCATCGCCTTCGACCCCTTCGTGGTTGGTTCCTTGTGGTTGAGGGCATTCCTAAAGAAAGCCCTACTTTGGCTACCGCACTTATAACTTATAACTTTCATAAATGCTGTAAGTTCTTAAGACCTTGCCAAACACAACATTTTGCAAAGAGTTTTGGGTGCACGAAAAATCTCTGGTCTGCGCTCCACAACAAAACTCCTCATCACACAAAAGTATTGTGTGTCTCTGGATTTCAAAAGGATGTGTCGCTTGGCGAGCAAACTTGAATGCTTGGCAAATCTTGGCAACATTGTCTTCAAGTATGTTCATGTCAGGTGTCCAGTTCAATCAGACCCATCTGAACGTTTAATTTTTTCAAGCAAAATCAAAACAAGAACGGAATTCTCAGAACCCTAACCTTGCCAACCGAGCGGATCATTACAGCTAAACTGCGCGTATCGAAGTCAGGGAAAATGAAAACACATATGTGTAAACATGAAAATGTAGAGCCGTTCGCGGTAGGGCGCTAAGGTGCTGACATTGGGGGAAGGTTTTTGGAGAGAGTTTTGGATGGAAGCATGACGTGTCAGATTCGTCTGAAATAGCGAGGAAACGTGTGGAAACGTAAGATGTTGAAGTGTGGAGGATCATTTCACTGCGCAGGCACAGCGTTTTGTGAGATGGTGAGTTTTTCTGCGCAAGTCACATTGGGATTGGCGTTTGGAGAGTGGTGTTTTTGGGGTGTTGGATGTGGCTGTGACATTGGGATTGGCGTTTCAGGGTGTTGCATCGAAGCTGTGTTTCGTGACAAGTCTCAGCTCAAATGACGATTTTGGTGGATGGGAGTGTGCTCAGAACGTGCCGAAATCATTCCAAACGTGTGGTAGCTGGAAAGATGAGGTGGGAGACCCGGAACCGTTTGCTTTGGCGAACGTTCAACCACCAGCTCCGCAAAAGATGCTTGGAGCTTGTAGTGAAATGCTTCTGCGTGCATGGAGCGTTCGTTTTGGTGTCAGGTGTGATCCACACTGGTGCGACACAACCGACGTGGAGAGGAAGATGCGCGGCACGAGCGTGCGATAGACTGCGCACAAACGAAACGCACAAGCAACCAACCTGTATGTGACAGTCCGCGTCCCTGCGTCGCCAGGAGGCTCAACTTCCATGCAACACAAAAACCAAGCGGAGGCCAGAAAGGAAAAGGCAGCGGCCGAGCAATTTAAGGTTGCTCACCTCCCCGCAAAAAAAGTGCTAAAGGCACAAAAGGGTGCAGAGAATGAGGCGGATAAGGCACTGCGTAAAGAGCGGAAAAGGGTCGCGGTAAAGATGAAGCGGCAGCAGGGGGGGAGGAGAGAGAGAAAGGTCAAGATACAACACGGCGATCACAGTTGCCCGCGAAACACAGACACACACACATACAGAACGCATGCAACCGAGGCGTGCTTTAAGTGCCTTTTTGCTAGACTACCGTTGAAGCCTTGAAGGTGGCACGGCGACGTGCCTACAGGTCGGCCGTGCGTGAGGCCGACTTCTGTTCTAAACCTGGGTCACGCACAAACACGTGCATAGCTACATAGAGCATTGTGTTTCAGGGCCCACCCAAAACGGCTGCCGCCTTGGATGTCGCCCGCAACAGTCGCCTGCGCGCGTTGCGCAAAAATCAAGAAAAAATTAACGCAAAAACTCTCTGGGGCGCCGTGCCACCTCACAGCCGTGGACACCTCTCCATCACTGTCCACCCCTCACCGTCAGTTGACATCTACCTGGTCATCGCCGGGAGCACTTTCCCGCTGAAGACGCTCATGGACACGCTGGACATCAGCGGCGCACAAACCCCCGCCGCAGGCTATGTGCGCACCGCTCGCCTTTTGTCCTTCGCTCTGGCCGCTGACGGTGACCTCCTTGAGTCGCTGGCCTCCACCATCTCGCAGACATTCTTCCAGCTTCTCCTGGGCCCGACCCTTGCGCCCAAGCATGAGGGCCACCATCTGCACCTAACTGGCGGAGGCGACGGAGAGCTGAGAGCACCGGCCTTCCTTCTGCTTGCTTTGGGCGTCGTGCATGCATCCAGTTTCAACTCACGTGTGTTGCACTCCACCATGCTCATGCGCTCTTACGACTCCTAGGAATTTCCTTTTCTTGTTTCTGAGATGCAACGCCCATGCGACGCCTTTGCTTCCGGACCACTACCACTACCACCACCAGTAACAAC